GCTGGGGGTGCGGCCACAGGTTAAGCTGGTGAGCGGCGTAGCGAACCGCGAACGGCCACAGAAAATTGGGTGCACCGGCGTGGATCATGGAGGTACGAGCCACCTCCATGACCAAACCGATGCGTCGCTCAGCGACCCCATTCTGTTGTGGGGAGTCCGGCAAGGTGAACGTCTGGGTGATGCCCTCCGCACGACAAAAGCGACCAAGGACACCTGAGGCAAACTCGCCACCACGGTCGGAGTGAAGACGCAAGACAGGGAGACCACGGTGGACACGTGCAGCAACAAGCCAGGGGATGAGGGCGGCAGGCACGTCGGCCTTCCGCTCCAGGGGAAAGACAGTGGTGTAGCGCGTGAAGTCGTCGACAAGCACGAGGAAGTAGTGCTCGCGACGCGACCCATGGACGGGGGCGGGGCCCCTGACGTCCATGTGCAGGGACTGCAACGGCGCGGCGGTAGGGGGAAACGAGGAGGAGTGAGGGGCATGGCGAAGCCGGCCCTCGACGCAAGGTGTGCACGGTGGGGCGGGGGAGGAGGGAAACTCTGGGAACGAACCGGGGAGACCAAGGACGAGACCGTGCTGGGACATGTGACGCAGACGCGGGAGCGCAGGGTGACCTAGGCGGTGGTGCCACAAGAGAGTCGGGTGGGTGAGGGACCCACAAGAGCAAGCAGCAGCAACCTGGGTAGACGCAGCCACCTGGGGAGGCGTCCCAGCCGGGAGGGTCACGGTGTCAAGTGTGAACAGGCTGGACACCGGGTCCCGGGGGAACGTGGTAAGGGGGGCACCAGTGTCGGCCTCGGTACAGACAGCATACCGCACGTGACCAGGGAACGTAGTGGTGACGCCAAGGCCCTGGAGGCAGCCGACACCAACTAGGTTCCTGGAGAACGGGGGGATATGCAGACCTGTGAGAGAGCCCGAAGGAACCGCGGGACAGGGAAGGGTGGTGGAACTGCGGGCGACTACCGGACCGCCAGAGGGGTCAGCAAGAGAAACTGCAGCAGGAACAGGAAGCGGCGTCAGCGTAGTGGAGTCGCGGAAGAAACACCGGGAAGCGCCAGAGTCCAAGGTGAAGGAAAGCGCAGAAGTGGCATCAGGCGGCGGAGAAGCGGCAGAAGCACCGAGGCTAAACAAAGCAGGAGATCCTACGTCGGACGCAGCAGGGGGGTCTAAGCTATGCACACCTACACTAGGCAACAAGGGGTAATAAGAGGGAAGCACACTAGAGTCATCAGCATACCTCACATGCAGGGCGGCTACAATGGCATCCATGTCCAAGTCAAAAATCTGAACCCTACGACTAAGCAAACTGTGCTAGTCCGGGAGGTCGGGCGACGGGCCGAAGCGCTAACGCAAAAGATCGTCCAAGCGACGAAAACAGCGAGGAGTGGAGTGACCGATCTTACCGCAAACGAAGCCGCGGCGAGGACCGGTCTGGATCTGGTACTGACAGCGCACGCCTCCGGAACCACCACCCGGCCCACCACCACGCGCACGGCCATCACCAGCTCCAGGCCACCCGGGCGGGAGGGCACTCGCCTGCCTCGGCTGCTGCGACTGCTGCGGCTGCGGCGGCTGCAACGGCTGCGGCTGCTGCGACGGCTGCTGCTGCTGCTGCTGCTGCGACGGCGGAGGCGGCTGCTCAGCTGGAGCGGGCGGGGTGCCCGCGTCCGCTCCAGCACCAGACGGCCCGCCTCCACCACCACCTCCACCGGCACCCCCTCCTCCCCCGCCGCGCCAAGCCTTGGGGCGGCGGCCCTTCCCCGGACGGGACTGCGCTACGGCAGCGGTCTCAGCCTTAGCGGCGAAACCATTGGAGAAGGTGCACTGAGAAGGGGCAGAACCCTGAAAGATAGGGACCGGCACAGTACCGCTCGCCTGTGCGATAGAGCGGTGGCGGGTCTCAATCACAGTCAAGGTGTCTACAAAGTCGGTGAGGGTGAGTTCACCGGGGTGAATGCTAAGGAACTGGTCGCGAGCAGCGGCAAGTCGATCAGGGAGGCGGGTGGCAAGCAGGTAGAGGGTAGAGGTCATGGGCGGCTGGTGGGCTCTAAGCTGTGCATCAGTGCAGGCAGGGCGCCAGGTCTCATCGATAGTGCGCAGGTGGGCAGCTAGGTCCGCGACAGTGGGGAAAGACGCAAGGTCAGGAAAGAGCATTGGGAGGATCAGGCGACCCACAGATGCAGCAGGCGGGGTGGAATAGCGCTTGATGACAGCATCTAAGAAGGCCTTAGCGGTAGTGATAGACCTAAAGCGGGGACGCTCAGACAGGGGTAGGGCATTGCTAATGGCAAGCTGCGCGACAGCGTCTCGGGAAAGCCAGACTGAGCGAGCAAGGGCAGCAGCGGCAGCAGACTCACACTCAGCGGAGGTGGGGCCAGCAGGTAGCACAGCAGGAGGGTCTGGGCAGGGAAGCATACCGTCAAGGTGTGTCGACAGCGAGTGACCATCCTGCCGCTGGCCAGTGAGGTGGCGGCGGAGGTCAGCAAGCCACGCCTCGAACTCAAGAGGCTGGCCTTCAGCGTCGAAGCGAAGCTCCGCCGCCATCAGGAACAGTGCAGTGCATGGCAGTGCTAGGCGGTGCTGTGCGATACAGGGCGATGCAGTGCAGTGCAGTGCGGTTCAGGGCGGTGCAGTGCGGTGGAGTGCGGTACAGTGCGGTGCAGTGCGGTGCAGCGTGGTACAGTGGTGCTGTGCGGTGCAGTGCGGTGCAGTGCGGTGCGGTGCAGTGCAGTGCGGTACAGTGCGGTGAAAGGTGGTGGAGAACCGTACCAGGGAGAGTGCAGATCGGACGGTCGTAGGGCCGGCGAGGAAGGGCCGGAAGTTGACGCGGGGCCGGCCGGGACAAGCGCGGGAACCGGCTGGGACGGGCGCGGGACCGGCAGGGACGGGCGCGGGGCCGGCTGGAACGGGCGCGGGGCCAGCTGGGAGAGGCGTGGGGCCGGCTGGGACGGGCGCGGGGCCGGCTGGGACAGGCGCGGGGCCGGCTGGGACAGTCGCGGGGCCGGCTGGAACAGGTGCAGGGCCGGCTGGGAGGGGCACGGGACCGGCTGGGACGGTCGCGGGGCTGGCTGGGACGATCGCGGGGGCCGGCTGGGACGGTCGCGGGGCCTGCTGGGACGGTCGCGGGGCTGGCTGGGACGGTCGCGGGGCCGGCTGGGACGATCGCGGGGCCGGCTGAGACGGTCGCGGGGCCGGCTGGGATGGTCGCGGGGCCGGCTGGGATGATCGCGGGGCCGGCTGGGACGGTCGCGGGGCCGACTGGGACGGTCGCGGGGCCGGCTGGGATGGTCGCGGGGCTGGCTGGGATGATCGTGGGGCCGGCTGGGACGGTCGCGGGGCCGGCTAGGACGATCGCGGGGCCGGCTGGGACGGTCGCGGGGCCTGCTGGGACGGTCGCGGGGCCGGCTGGGACGGTCGTGGGGCCGGCTGGGACGATCGCGGGGCCGGCTGGGACGGTCGCGGGGCCGGCTGGGACGGTCGCGGGGCCGGCTGGGACGGGCGTGGGGCCGGCTGGGACGGTCACGGGGCTGGCTGGGACGGTCTAGGAGAGGCGCGATGGGCTAGGAGGCGCGACGGGCTAGGAGAGGCGCGACGGGCTAGGAGGCACAAACGGGGGGGCCCAGGAGGGGCGTGACGGGTGCTAGGGGGGGCGCGACGGGCCCAGGGGGGCGCGACGGGGCCCAGGGGGGCGCGACGGGCCCAGGGGAGGCGCGACGGGGCCCAGGGGGCGCGACGGGGCACAGGGGGCGCGACGGGGCCCAGGGGGGGGCGCGACTGGTCCTAGGTGACACGACGGGGCCTAGGAGGCGCGACGGACAGGGGTAGGTCCTAGGGCGGAAGCGTGGGCGGGCGGGGGGACTTACCTACTGCTGATACCTTCTTAGAACTGAAATAGTATTGAATAGAGAGAGAGTACAAGGGTATATACCTAAGAGTGTTGTACCCTCTAAGAGGCGACCCTATACAGTCTATACAAACATGAGTTATGCATATGTTTGACAGCTTCTTGGGCAGACGACTCTGAGACGCTCAAGTCGTCGCAGGGCTACTGTTTTAGGCTTGGTTCGGGTGCTATCTCTTGGAGATCCACACGCTCGTCGTCTGTGGCTCAGTCCAGCTGTGAGGCTGAGATCTACGCTGGTGCTATGGCGGCACAGGAGCTCCGCTGGCTGACCTTCTTGCTCACAGACTTAGGTGAGTGGCCTAGCTCTGCCCCGGTCCTGTACGCTGACAATAGGGCCATGATACTCCGGTGTCAGGAGCCTCGGCTTGAGGGCAGAGCGAAGCATATCCAGCTGCGGTACTTCCTCCTGCGTGAGTTACAGCAGCGCCGCCAGGCCCGCGTAGTTCACTTGGTCTCAGGTGCCAACACAGTTGATATCTTTACTAAGGCGCTTGCGCCTAAAGATCATCAGCGGCACTGTGTACAACTTGGTCTTGTTCCTGTAGCTACTCACCTGTTAGGATCCTGATTGTGTACTCTCTTTTATATATACCTGTCAGACTGGCCTTGTGGCCTTACCTGCAGTGGCTGGACTAGTAGTGCCGCCCTGGCTTGCTTTAGACTTGTTTGTACTCTTGCTGACTGGTCTCCAGACCCCTACCTCAGTGGTTGGACTAGTAGTGCCACCCTGAGCTGTTTGCTTCTTGCTTAGCTTCACCCCTTGTCTAGCCTAGGAGGTGTGTCAAGTTATACATATTAGTTATATAGAAGTTATAGGCTAGACTGGGGTATGCTTCTAGTGAGTACAACCAACTAGTATTTGTACCAGGTTTCTCCTTCTAGTTCATTCATTATGTTCTTACTTTAGCAGTGCGACCCTTCGAGTCACTTCGCCCTTTCGTATACTTTCGTCCAACCTCCTTGTGTAACCTCCGTTGACTTGCGTACCCGATACGACTTTTCTCGAGTGTAGTGTTACACTTAAGAAACGTTGAAGTCTTCGAGGCATTTCCAACATAAGCAACACCTCTAAACTTCTACAACGATAGAAGACCTCATAGTGCTATATTCGAGCAAATATGGTAATATGTATATAGGAGCGATCCTAGGGGTGTCTATCCAGGTGATTACGGTAGCTTATAATTCCACCGAACCGATCGTTGAAGCCACTTATTCACATCAACCTCGCTAAATCCCACTCCAGTCGGCCCCCATGTTCGTTGCCTCTGTTGGCTGTTCCGGGTCACACCTATTGTACTCAAATATTGCCATTGTCCTCATAGAGAAAAATGCAGCTGTGTGGGAGTAACCAGACTGAGAAATGACATACGCATCACTAGCAGATAGCAGCAGCCACTCGGTGATCAGCTCTTGAAACATCCTCGCCTCCTTCTGCTTGCCACTCTCGATGGCAGCACCAAAGGCATTGCTGGCTACGCTTCCATGCTTCGCTGAAGCCAGAACGTTTGAATGCCGAGGGACAAAGTCCGTCGTGATCACCTGCAGGCAGAGGGGCTCCAAGGAGGGCTATTAGCTATTTCGTTTTGAGAAATGGCTGCATACTGGAAACCCCCCTGGGGTGCAACATAAGGCACGTGAATGAGCAGCACAAACAAAACTATGCGTTACCAGCCAAAAGAAGCACAGCAGGTTTAGAGCTGACTCACAGTCACAAGGAGCACAGCAGCTTTAGAACCGACTCAGCAGATTAGGAACATTCTAATTTCTTCCAGCCTAAATCTTACAGACAAGCTGCGGTGTGGAGTGCAGGTGTGTGGGGCTGACGAGTTTGGAACAGAGTGGGATGGGTGATGCGCCATAGGACGTGACTCAAGGGTGTAAAGGCCATGCATGCTCGGGTCAATAGGGACACATTGTGATACACTGAGGCAGCAAGGCAGTGAGGCAGAGCAGGCAGGGCGGTGAGAGGACCTAGGCAGTGTTCATGCACACCTTGGCAATGGGATGTAATTGGAGTGGAAGTGGGGCAGAGAGCGCACATGCACAAACATGCACACACATACACACACACACACCCACACACACACACACACAAACACCCTCGCACGCACACACCCTCGCAAACACCTTGTCCGGGTATCTTGATTTGAGGGCGGCCTTGAGTTGGGCTGAGTTGGTGATGACCATCCATCGCACAGCGAGGGACGTGGGCAACCAAAACGCCTCCACTTGCTGAACATACACAGGGAATCAGGGGAACAGGGAAACGAGAGTACGGGGGAACGGGGAAACAGGGGAATAGGGGAACAGGGGAAGAGAGACGAGGGAGTTGCCGACAGGATGGTGGGAGAGGAGGATGTGGGGTGAGATATGAGGGACGGCTTCTCAGTGCTTGATGTAGCCAGGGAGGCATGAGGGAGGGACGAATTTGGTGAAGAGTGCATATGTGCGACAGAGGAATCTAGTCGTTTGGTGGGTTGGAGACATGGGGTGCAAGAGAAACAAGGGTACGCGTCGATCCAACTCCAAACAGGAACTTGAAGCCCTACTCTCAAGTTGGGAGCCGCGGTCCAGGGAGGCTTGGGCTTAGGTATGGGAGCTGGGATGGATACTTGATTTGAGACAGCGGCTGACGGAATTCACGAGCTGTAAAAGTCAGCACCCGATTGGCCAAGGGGTGCACAATGGGTATCGCAAAATATTTTTTCCCCACCGAATCTAAAGCCTCTCGCCCAAAATATTTCGTGCGTTTGCAAAACTCTCACCTACCACCCAGCAAGCCTTTGAGACTTGCTTGGCCCTGCATCTTGGGACTCCGGCTTTAACGCTGTCCAGAAAAGAAGTGATGCAGTGAGGGGATGCACCAAGGGTATGCATTGAAGTGATGCAACGGACCGGCAAAACCAAGGCAGTGACATGGCCACTACCGATACCCCGCACCAACATCCACAAGCCCAAGCACGCACCTGCGAACGCATGCACACACACCTGCCCTTGATCCATGCATTCACACACTCAACCATTCCCACCACCCCACATCCACCGCCCTGCCCACTCATCCACCCATGCTTCCATCCATCCTTCCTCCATCCACCCTCATCCCGCCCGTCCCCAGCGCACCTCAGCGCAGTCGAGCCACAGCTTTGCGTTCTCCAGAAGCCGGTCCACGTCCTGCGCGCTCAGCTCATTGGGCGCGCCTCTGTCGCCCGCCCACACCACCTCGTCCTGCACGCGGATGTGAATGCCCACCACTGCCACGCGCCTGCCATCGCCGCCGCTGCTGCCGCTGCCGCTGCTGTTGTCGCTGCCGCTGCTGCTGCCGTCACCCCCCGTGCTGGCTCGAAGCCGCTGCTGCATGCTGTGAAACAGCTCCTGCACCTCAACACGCGGCCTGCACCATGGGAGGGGGGGGGCATCGGTCGATGTGGGTTGGGCAAAGGCAGCGCGTGACGGATGGCAGGAGAGCAGAGTGTTTGAAACGAAAGCCAAGAGCTGGAAGGGAAGCACAGTCTACTTGCTATCCTGCAAAAGGTTAACCTACAACCAGGGGGTCCCTTTCCCTAACCCCCAATGCACATGCCCCACTTCTCCCTCACCCCCCCACATCCCTGAACCCCCACATCACTCCGCATACCCCACTTACCCCCCTCCCTCCTCCCCCCCTCACCGCAGGAGGAACCTGAGGAAGCACCCCACGGCGTACGGCAGGCGCATCCCCAACGCCTTGAACCGTTCCGCCCACGACCCATTGGCCTGAGTCGCCATGTACGTCAGCATGCCCAGATTCGCCGCCGTCCGGATGTTAGTCGCGTTCTCGAGCGCCTTAAAGTACGTCTCTGGGTCCACGCGCGTGTTGCGCAGGTCTACCCACACCACTCCCCCCTCTTTCACCGCCGCGGCGGGTTGCTCCCTGGTCAGCCCGCCATCCCAGAAGCTCCGCGGCGGATTGAGCACGGTCGCGGGTTCAAAAGGGACGTCTTCGGTCGGCCGCCAGTCGATCGCGCCCGGGAGAAAAGCGGCCGGCAGGCAGTCATGGCGGACGATGAGCGCGCGGCCATCAAGCACGGCCGTCACGAACGCGAGCATCAGCCCGTTGAGCACATCGCCGAACCCGCCGCACCCGTCCAGCCACTCGAAGGTCAGAAATCGCACAGCAGGGTCGTACGGGCGCGGAGGGAGGGGAGGGGCGAACCACGCGAAGACTCCGCTCCGCCGGTGGCGCTTGACGTGCTCCGCGTGCGCGGCTGCGCTGGCCTGGCGGATGGCGGCGTGGCGCGCGGCGTAGTCGGCGGGCCACGAGCCGCAGACGGCGTCGGCCGACGAACTGTTCCAGAAGTCCCAGTCCCAGTCGTCGACATGGCGCTCGGCGTGTTCCAGGTGCCTGTCCTGTGGAGGGCCCTGTGACGTCGAATGGTACGGTACAGTCCGGTGCGGTATGCCAGGGGGGGGAGTGGGACGGGTTGAGTGAGAGAGGGAGGGATGGGGTTGGGGGGGGACGGGATGAGACTACGGTTATGTCCTCTCGGGAACCCTGGCTAGGGTTAGTACTAACTGATCCTAACTGCATTGTGTCCAAATTGTGAAGGCGATGCGTTGGCGCACGTTGGCGGACTGCTGGCAGTAGATTCAGCCTCTAGCCTGAGGATGTGGGGGATGTTTTGGAGGACACGAGGGATCGCCGCAAGCAGACAAGCGCCAGCTCCAGTGCGGGATCATGTTCGTACGCGTTACAAGGTCTCGATCGCGCGTGGGTAATGTGCACGCCTTACGGAGACTGATCGAGCCGCGAGGAGGAGAAGCCAAGCGATTGGAAGCGCCGCGCCGACTGCCAGCGCGGCTAGAGAAGGTAGCCACCGCCACCAAGTGCGCGGTTGACGCGGGGAGATCATCTGTGGGCGCCTTCTCAGCAGGCTGCCGCCTCAGCGTGAGTAGCGGGATATCGGAGGTTGCGCTTTGACAGCCCGTCAAAAGCTAAGAGCTCAGAAAGCATTTGCAAGTCTATCGTGACAGATCTCGTGTTTTTGTTTTTGGGAAATTATACGCAGGGTAACTCTTACTCTTCATTTTCCCGATTTAGTCACTCTTTTCTCATCTCAGTCAATGTTTTATTCTCATCTCAGTCAATCAGCAGCGTCAAAAGTTTTGTTCAGTTCGATGCCGCATGGCAAAATACTTCGATACGTGTCCCAGAAATGTGATGGTCTCAAAACATCGAGAGATAAATACATCATCCAAATTTTGAAGAGAAAACTGCATAGCTGGTAGAGGATTCTGTCTCGGTAAACATTTGCGCACAGCTCCGCGACGCGTTATTAAGATGCAGACATGTCGATTAGGGCAGCCTGAAACAAAATAAAACCCACAGCGCCCCCTATATATACGGACATGTCAATTAGGGCAGCCTGAAGCAAAATAAAACCCGCAGCGGCCCAATATTCGACTTTGTGTGGCATCAACCCTAAAGACGAACAAAGCCGCAAGTTTAGAATTGATGCCACCGTTGTCAAACATGTGTATTTGTCATGTTTGTATAGACTGTATAGGGTAGCCTCTTAGAGGGTACAACACTTAGGTATATCTTTGTGTACCCTCTCTCTAATATTCACTTCTTCAAATTCTGATATGGTATCACGCGTAGGTAGGATCCCCCCCACCTACCGCTTCCGCTCGCCCCCCCCCCTAGCCCCGTCGCGACCCCCCCTAGCCCCGTCGCGCCCCTTCCTGGGACCCGTCGCGCCCCTCCCTGGGCCCCGTCGCGCCCCTTCCCGGGCCCCGTCGCGCCCCTCCCAGGCCCCGTCGTGCTCCTCTTAGGCCTCGTAACGCCCCTCCTGGGCCTCGTTGCGCCCCTCCTGGGGTCCGTCGCGCCCCTCCTGGGCCCCGTCGCGCCCCTCCCAGGCTCCGTAGCGCCCCTCCCAGGCCCCGTAGCGCCCCTCCTGGGCCCCGTAGCGCCCCTCCTGGGCCCCGTCGCGCCCCTCCCAGGCCCCGAAGCGCCCCTCCTGGGCCCCGTCGCGCCCCTCCTAGGCCCCGTCGCGCCCCTCCCAGGCCCCATAGCGCCCCTCCTGGGCCCCGTAGCGCCCCTCCTGGGCCTCGTCGCGCCCCTCCTGGGCCCCGTAGCGCCCCTCCTGGGCCCCGTCGCGCCCCTCCTGGGCCCCGTAGCGCCCCTCCTAGGCCCCGTCACGCCCCTCCCAGGCCCCGTAGCGCCCCTCCTGGGTCCCGTCGCGCCCCTCCCAGGCCCTGTAGCGCCCCTCCTGGGCCCCGTCGAGCCCCTCCCAGGCCCCGTAGCGCCCCTCCTGGGCCCCGTCGCGACCCTCCCAGGCCCCGTAGCGCCCCTCCTGGGCCCCGTCGCGCCCCTCCTGGGCCCCGTCGCGCCCCTCCTGGGCCCCGTCGCGCCCCTCCTGGGCCCCCCGTCGCGCCCGCCTGGCCCCGTCGCACCAGCCCGGCCCCGTCGCACCAGCCCGGCCCCGTCCTGCTCGCCCGGCCCCGTCGCACCCGCCCGGCCCCGTCGCACCCTGCTCGGCCCCGTCGCAGCCGCCCGGCCCCGTCGCACCAGCCCGGCCCCGTCGCGCCCGCCCGGCCCCGTCGCACCGGCCCGGCCCTGTCGCCCCCGCCCGGCCTCGTCGCCCCTGCTCGGCCCCGTCGCGCTCGCCCGGCCCCGTCGCCCCGGCCCGGCCCTGTCGCACCAGCCCGGCCCCGTCGCGCCCGCCTAGCCCCGTCACGCCCGCCCGGCCCGGTCGCACCTGCCCGGCCCCGCTGCCCCGGCCCCGTCCTCCTCACTGGTACGGTTCCCCCCCACCCCGCCCTGCACTGCCCTGCACCGTACCGCCACGCACCACACTGTACTGCCTTACACCGCACTGCACCGCACTGTACCGCACTGCACCGCACTGCACCGCACTGTACCGCACTGCACTGCACTGCCCGGCACCGCACTGGACTGTTCCTGATGGCGGCGGAGCTTCGCTTCGACGCTGAAGGTCAGCCCCTAGAGTTCGAGGCGTGGCTTGCCGACCTCCGCCGCCAACTCACTGGCCAACGGCAGGATGGTGAACCGCTTTCCGCACACCTTGACGGTACGCTCCCCTGCCCAGACCCCCCTGCTATTCTGCCCGCTGACCCCACACCCACTGAGCGTGACTCTACTGCTGCCACTGCCCGTGCGCGCTCTGTCTGGCTTTCTCGCGATGCTGTCGCCCAGCTTGCCATTAGCAACGCCCTCCCCCCGTCCGAGCGTCCTCGCTTTAGGTCCCTCACTACTGCTCAGGCCTACTTAGATGCCGTCATCAAGAGCTATTCCACCCCTCCGGCTGCCTCGGTGGGTCGCCTGATCCTCCCGATGCTCTTTCTTGACCTTGCTTCTTTCCCCACTGTCTCTGACCTCGCTGCCCACCTGCGCTCGATAGAGGAGACCTGGCGCGCCGCCTGCACTGACGCACAGCTTAGAGCCCACCAGCCGCCCATTACCTCTACCCTCTACCTGCTTGCCACCAGCCTCCCTGACCGCCTTGCTGTCGCCCGCGACCGCTTCCTTAGCCTTCACCCTGCCGACCTCACCCTCACTGACTTTGTAGACACCCTGACTGTGATAGAGACCCGTCACCGCTCCATCGCCCAGGCGAGCGGTGTCGTGCCTGTCCCTATCTTTCAGGGTTGTGCCCCCGCCCAGTGTACCTTCTCCGACGGCTCTGTCGCAGTGGCTGAGACTGCTGCTGCAGCGCAGTTTAGTTCGGGGAAGGGCCGCCGCCCCAAGGTTGGGCGCGGCGGAGGCGGCAACGCGGGTGCGGGAGGGGGTAGTGGTGGGGTCGGGTCGTCTAGTGCTGGACCGGACGAGGGTCCCCTGCCCAGTCCAGCTGAGCCGCCGCCCCTGCAGTTGCAGCAGCCGCAGCAGTCGCCGCAGTCGCAGCCGTCGCAGCAGCCGCCGCAGCCGTCGCAGACGCGGCAGACGAGTGTCCTCCCGCCCGGGTGGCCCGGCGCTGGCGGTGGCCGGGCGCGTGGTGGTGTGTCGAGTGGTAGCTCTGGCGGCAGGCGCTGTAAGTACCAGATCCAGACCGGTCCTCGCCGCGGTTTCGTTTGCGGTAGGCTCGGTCACTCCACTCCCCGCTGTTTTCGTCGCCTGGACGACCTCTTTCGTCAGCGCTTCGGCCCGTCGCCAGACCTCCCGGACTGGCACAGTTTGCTTAGTCGTCAGATCCAGATCTTTGAGATGGACATGGATGCCATTGTTTCTGCTCTGCATGTGATGTATGCTAATGACTCTAGTGTGCTTCCCGCTTATTACTCACTGTTGCCTAGTGT